AATCAGGTCAAATCCTGAGAATCCATGGATCAGCTGAAATTCCACCGGATTTATATTCTAGGCCATCAAACCAGCTGGGTGTTTACACTCCCTTAGGGAGTGACATCACGGTCCGTTTTGCCGATTTACCCAGCCGTTTTCGAGATATTTCAATGTGTACATTTGGCCATAGAAGCCAGTGCAAAATCAGCGGCGCTCCGAGAATTTCATACAAACTTCCCATGTAGACGGTCGCAATACAGCCGAAAATCGAAAAAAAAAAATTAATTTTTTTTTCGATTCTCATACAGTATTTTGTGTGCTAAATCCATTGATGTTATCGCCACATCGAAATTCGCACTCCTTATCAGTTTGTTATCAATGGGAAACATTTGGTTCCAGACTAATAACATCACCATCTCATTACTCAAATATATTTCATCTAATAACTATACTAATAAGATACCATACATCTTATTACTCGTTCGACCAATAACATTCTAATAACTATACTCACTAGATATATTACTAGTGCAAAAAAGTAATGAGTAATAATAAAGTTTCATCTTATTAGACTAATAAGTAATAAGACCACTAATAAGATACCGAAAATGCCAAAGTATACATTCGGACACGGCATTTTTTCGGACATTCGGACAAATGTTCATTTTTTTCGGACAAACGGTCCGGACGGACACGGACACAACTATTTTTTGTCCGAACCAGAAATGTACTGGAAATTCCAAAATTTGCGGGAAATTTTTTTTTTTTCAGAAAAAATGGTTACAATGGTTACAATGCGATCTGAAGCCATTTTATGGTCGAAAAATGAGTCGGATTGAAGTGAATTTTTCAACTTGCATTTTGTGCACTGAAAATGAAGATTTTGTTCGCAATACACGTTAAAAACACCTCTGACGACGTTTTCATCTTGCAAAACTACTACTTTTTCGTAAAAATAAGGGGAGTCTGCCGAACATTTGAATACCCAATTCATTGTTATTTGGTCATAAATCGGCATTTTTGCATCTGAATGTATAAAATTGGACCTTATTTATCCTGCATTTCCCAGAGCTTTTGTAGTTGGGAACTATTATTTTTTATTGACATAATGAGGATCCACAATCACTTCACACTCCTTTTATGGTTATTTTGAAATTTCAGGCATTTTACAATGTGAAATTAAGGAGAAATGGGACTTTTTTTGATATTGGTGGAAATTTGCTATTTCCAGAGATTGTGAGATATGGATGCAAATGTTTCAACAAAAAAATCAATTTTCTAAAAATAAGACATTTTTCTGGCAAAAGTGTGTTTTTTCCGAAAATAATTGCCTCACAAAATTGATATCGGATGAAAAACTCAGGGGCATTTAACTCGAAAGAAATGCGTTTTATGTAGAGAATATGCGCTATAACACATAGTATGTGCCACGAATCGAAGTATGCCGATTTATTCGTACTATGCGTATTTTACGGCAATATGCGGTGCCCATTCGCTGTGTATAATCACGAATACTGCACAAAGACGAGATATACTGCGAATAATTTTGCATAAATCTTACTAAAATGTTCCTTTCTGTGATTGGTCACACGCCGAAATATTGACTATTTCGAATTCGAAATTGCAACGACTTTTTTCACGTGAGAATACAAGAAATACTTACATAATTGCAAGTGACGTTTATATAAATGAAAACTGAAAACCAATTTATTCTTCTTTTTTTGTTCTATTCATTAGAACTATCAGACTTCATATTAAAAGCGAAATTGTTTTTCAGTTCAAATCTTCTGTAGATTATTTTTGTTTTCTTCAATCATTTGTACATGGTTTAGTTTATGATTCATAATGTAGATCTATAGACTCTTAACAAGAGTGAAACGTCGCACTTATTTATTCATTCTTATATCTACCAAAACTATCGACGGCTTTACCTCAATATTTGTATATTATAATATTTTCATTTTTATGCAACAAAACATTGAATAGACATAGCAAAAAAAATTAAGTTGTGCAGTGTAAAATGTTTACCTATTGCTAATATATTTTAACTTTATGTAACTTTGAAGTTCAATTTCCATCAAATAAGAACAATTTATTGCTCTCATCATTATGATTTGATAAATGTCAAAGACAAAAATTGTTTACGTCAAATAATATTTGAACGGACCTTAACGATAAAATAGATTGTTGAAATTGTGTTGACACGTATTAAATCATGTAAATGTTTGCATCTATGCGTCTTTATGTGCACGTGTATTGACTTCTATGCGTAATATTCGTGACTATGTGCAAAATCAAAAAACAAGATTGAATAGAGTATATATATATAGTTTATTCCTCAGAGTAGCACACAAATTATGCGCGTTTTTGCGCACGTATGTGAACGAGTAAAAAGCCCCTAGTGAAAAACCTCTAGACGAGGTTGAAATGGAGCGACGCTCCTGTGCGTGAATTTACCACTCAAAAAGACTGATATTATTTTGAGTGACACCAGGACGCTGTATTATCACTGGATACGAAGTTCAAAAATGTTTTTCGCATCCACTATTGTGAAAATCTACTCACAATAAGGAACAATATCGCGTCACGAGTTTTAGACGGCAAAACATTTGAAAACTTGATCCAAAATCAAAAGTCGTGACGCGATATTGTTCCTTATTACTTTTCCGCAAACTTTGTTTGTATAGGAAAAGTATTGGTTTTACTCCCCAAAATTTCCTAACTCCTTCACTTTCCAACCACTGTAAAGTCACGTCAAACTGCTTTTAGCACATAACTGTACACTAGAAAATGTATATGAGAACAAAACCTATCGATCTGCCCCCAAAAATACTTTGTTTACTATGAAAAATTTGCAAAAATACGATGTTTGTATGGCGTCTTATTTTTGTTGGAACGATATCTTTGAAAGTTGACTAGATAATTGAGGTCTATAAACGCCAAAAGTTTTGTATCCAAGGAACTTAGTTTAAGTTCGAAGATAAGCCATATCCGATGTGACCTTGGGGTACCTCCCCTAAGAAAAACCCTCAAAAAATGGTACATTTTTCGGAGTTTTGGTCTAGGCAAATTGCCAATATTTTGCAAAAATAATGGGGGTCTGTGAACAACCGACCCATAAAATTGGCCTGAAATCGACTTTTCTAGACATTTTTACCGAAAATGACGCTCTTGTATGAAAAATCACTCAAAAAGCCATTTTTGGGGTTTCAGCCAAGGCAAACTGATGTTTTTTTGCGAAATCAATGGGAGCTTCCGAACAACCGAACACCTACTTGCCCATAAATTTGGTTCAAAATTGAAATTTCTTGAAATTTTTGAAATTCTCTCACTTTTATTTGGAAAATGGTCGAAATAGTGATTTTTCAAAAGTGCTATGAAAAAAGTTTTCAATGAAATTTTGGTTAAACATCAAGCATGAGGTAAACTAAATTGCTGTGGAGCGGAAAAGTTGGGATTACGCATGTAATTCGTTTTATTGTAAGTAAATTTTCATAATAGTGAATGCGAAAAAAAACTTTTGAACTTCGTATCCAGTGATGATACAGCGTCCTAGCGTCACTCAAAAAAATTTCAGGAGTGTCACTCCATTTTGAACTCGTCTAGAGGTTTTCCACCTGATTTATTTTTTGACGATTTTGTTAAATATTCTTGATGTTCTTGTCATTTCTTTGACGTTTCGGTTACGTTGAACATTTGATGATTTTATTATTTTTTGACGCTTTTGGCATTTTGACGTTTTTGTTAATTTTTTTTAACGATTTTGTAAATCATTTTGTTCGTTTTCATTTTGACGTTTTTATAATAATTAATCTATATAGATTATATTTACCTTTGCCCATATACTCCCCATTCAAAAGAGAATTGCAATTTTTACAGCTGTGAAAAGAAAAATCATTACATAAGTTAGTGAATAATTTCAAATAATTATGCCAGTTTCATTATACACGCTTACTTTATTTATTTATTTATTCATTTACACCGCAAAAAATCGGCTGAATATTTGGTTTTGCAGGAAAATGACTCCAAGAGTTGAAAAACCTGTAGCCTATTTCACCAAATGTTTTCATGACAAGTTTTTATGAGATTTTCCTCTCAAGTTTTTTTGGTCAAACAAATATATCTAAATGTAGCAATGAGAAAATTTCAATAAAAACGTGAAAATATTCTCATTTTTTGACATTATTTTGAGCGCCAACTTGAAATTTCGAGATTTTTTCTCAAAAATGTGGGTCCACATCATGGTTGGCTCAAAAATAAATGAAAATTTAAAATTTGCGCTCAAAATAATGTCAAAAAAATGAGAATATTTTCACGTTTCTATTGAGATTTTCTCATTGCTACATTTAGATACATTTGTTTCACCAAAAAAACTTGTGAAGAAAATCTCATGAAAACTTTTCATGAAAACATTTGGTGAAATGGGCTGCTGATCTTTTGATTTTACAATTTAGATTGATTTTACATAGATTGGTTCTCGACTAGTCAAAAGAATAATTCAATTTATGAATAAACGAATGACCAAACATGAAAATGTCTAATGAAAGCCGCGGCTATGAAATCCATACTGACGACAATATTCGACCTGCCTCTAGTGGTCATACACATAACAAACGTTGAGCGGTCAATATATGCACACAATATATGCTTATGTGATTGAAATATTATTATTATTATTATTCTGCACCATACAGCGTTTCTTCGCCAGAGGTGGTTTATTTAGCATAAATAAATCTTGTTATATTTACAATACAGTACGCCCTCGTAAATTAGAACTCGGAGAATTAGAATTCCTCCGAAATTAGAAGTGAATTTCGGGTTGGAACATTTGTATGGAAAAATTCTAATTTAAGAGGTTCAATTCTAATTTGCGAGGTTTCTCATTTTTGCTTGAATTTACATGGAACCCGAGAAAACAATTTGCCGCCGAAAGCAATTTTGCTCATTGATAACTGTCCGGCCCATGAAGAATTGCAAACTGACGATGGAAATATAATTACGATTGCTCTGCCACCAAACGTTACGTCTGTGCTACAACCAATGGATCAGAGTCCAATAAACGTGTTTAAAATGAATTATCGCAAACTACTTTTGTCGTCTGTTGTTGCAAATGAAAACACAAATATTATTCAGGCTTTGAAAGAACATAACATTCGTGATGCAATCGTAATGATGAAAGATGTTTGGGCGAATTTCTCGAACACTCTTCTGCAAAATTCATGGTCAAAGATAAACAACTGGGATAAAGATGATTACACAGAAGAGGATTTAGTTCCATTGTCATCATTAAGAGCACCAACTGTTGATTACGAAAACGTTTTGGGTGAAGTTCAAACACTTTTGAATTCAATTGCACCGGACAGTGAAATAGCAACGAATGAAATCGAAGAATGGAATAATGACACAACAGAAAACGTTGAATTGGATGACGTCGACAGTTCTGACTCAGAAGGAGAAGCAGCGGCTGTAGTGAAAATTCCACATTCTGACGCGATCGATCATGTCAACAAATTAATCGAATGGTGTGCCCAAAACGAAAGTGTTGGTATCAAACATACATTCAGTCTGTTATCCCTTCGTTCCGATATTGTAACAGCACACACAACGAAAGCAACAAAGCAAAAGCAACTAACGGATTATTTCAAATAAAATCAAAAATTAATATTCCTTATATAAACACAAACAGTCATAAGTAATAAGTTTTGTTTTGACTCATTTTTTTTCTTCTACGTTTGTAAACAAACTATTTATCATCATTAAAATACTTGTAATAAGCATGTATCGCACGAATATGATTAGAATTATGATGTTTTTGATTAAACAATCAATTTCCCTTATCAATTTTGGTTTTGCTATTGGATTTTTGATGAAAATGAAAAAACCTCCGAAATTAGAAATCCTCGTGAATTAGAATTGCCCTCGGGACATTTCGATTCTAATTTACGAGGGCGTACTGTATTTGCAATGGGATAATTAATTCTATTTGACTTTACTCTCTCCAAATTCTGTTTCTCTTAAAATAATCAGCTACTCTCTGTTTTACAGTATTTGTACTTGTGTTAAAATCAATTAAATAAGTATCACAATTCGGAATAGTAGTAATATTACATTCATCTGGTAAATTTGGCGGTTTGATAGGAACAAAGTATTTATAAAATTCATTGTATGTACTCAACATATAATTGATAGGTTCAAACTTGGAATAGCAATTGTGATGCGTCGGTAATGAAAGGAAATCTGAGTTTCTTGTCCAATGTCGCGGTGTTTTGAAACTTATTTTGCTCAATATGTATTTCGATGAAGTATTTCCACATATCACATTGTGGACAAGTGATATTTGTGCTATCTTTCTCCGCTCTTCCAGCGTAATCATTTGTAATTCAAGCAGTCGGCATTCGTATGGCGGCTTCCTGAATCTGTGTGGCCACTTCATTTTGCGCAGTGCAAACAATAAAAACTGCTTCTGGATCGATTCAACTCGTGCAATTTTTTCAGCGATGTATGGGTTCCAAATTTGGGAAGCATATTCCACAATCGGCAATACAAATGTGAAAAATAATTTCTTTATTGTCCATGGATCATCAAATTCATATCCAAATCGTTTAATCCATGCTAAACGTGATTTCGTCTTGGCTGTGACTCAATGTGTGCATTAAAATTCAATTTATGGTCAAGTATTACCCCAAGATCCTTTATCACGTCAACTCAATCGGTTTTTTCGTTACCAATGGAATATTCGAAGTTAAATTTCAGGTGGCCACGATGAAAAGACACATATTTGGTCTTGGATACATTTAGCGTTAGCTTGTTCCGGTTAAAGTATTCAACAAGCCTATTCAAGTCAGCTTGCAATTCCAGACAATCATCATAATGTCTGATGTGTTTCCATAGGCGAGTGTCATCAGCAAACGACTGAAGTATTGAGTTTCTTATGTGTTTTGGTAAATCAATGATGAACAACAGAAACAATGTAGCACCAATCGGGTAACCCTGACCAGTTCCCGATGTAACTTCAATGGGGCTCGACATGTCATTATTCAATTTGACAATCTGTTGGCGACCAAACAAATACGATTTGATCCACTTGAGTAATTGTTGATTCAGTCCCATAATATCCAATTTGCGTATTAGTAAATCAATGTTGACCGAGTCAAAGGCCTTCGCAATATCCAAGTAAATTGCATCGGTTTGTATTTGGTTTTTCATTCCTAAAATTGCACACGATGTAAATTCAGCCAAATTTGTAGTTGTAGATTTTCCCTTCACAAATCCATGTTGACTGTTATCAATAATATTCTCCATGTGATAATTAAGGTGTTTGGCAACGATGGAATCAACGATGCAATTCAACTATCATCACAAGCGTCGTGTCAGTAGTCATATGTTTACATTGGAAATACGTGTTATTGTTGAAAAATCCCAACTTAAACGTTCAAATGAAAGGCTAGTAGAAGCGTTAAACAACACATACGTTGAGAAAACGAAATCTTCACTCAAGCACGATGCATCGAGATTTTGGCAATATGTAAATTCGAAGAAAAGCACTGACAACAAACCAAAAGTTATGCAACTTGGTGATGTGCACAGGGCAAACGAAACTGAACAGGCCAACCTGTTTGCCAATTTCTTCAGTAGCAAGTACGATTACTCAACGACTCAAGACGCTCAGCGATCGATATAAGTTACAAATCTATAGGTGCACACTAAAATTTTGGAGGGGAATGAGTAATCTAGATACAGTGCGAAATAGCGGTTTCTACTGTTTTTGGATGAATTTACACTAATTTTAGGGGAAAATGTGTTATTGCTTATGCGAACGGCCAAGTGGCTACTATTCATATACGTATCAATACATAGACACGCACTGGTCACCAAGTCTGTGCAGTTGTATGTATTGAACGAGTTGCTGTGTGCAAAATTTACAATACATACAACTGCACAGGCTTGGTGACCAGTGCGTGTCTATGTATTGACATGTATATGAATAGTAGCCACTTGAGCGTTCGCATAAGCAATAACACATTTTACCCTAAAATTAGTGTAAATTCATCCAAAAACAGTTGAAACCGCTATTTCGCACTGTATCTAGATTACTCATTCCCCTCCGAAAACTTACAGTGTGAGATTGAGAGTAGTGTATGTTTCACTGACTTTGTTATGAATGAGAAGAGTAAGTTTCTTTCGACTTAAAAATTGTTAAAGGCGAGTATGTTCATTTTCGTCACGGTTTTTGACGGTTTTCGTGGAACTCATAAAAGATAACAACTTGGTCTCTTCGGTAAAGTTTCAGTACTCGAAGTCCTCTATAACTAAGCTGAGGACGGTTATCTCTTATCTCTTATCAGTTTCACGGAAAGCGCGAAAAATGATATGAAAAAAAAAGTTCTATATAAATTTTGCTTTTTTTTGCGCTATTTGGGCGAAACTGATAAGAGATCAGAGATAACTATCTTTAGTCCAGTTATAGAAATTCTCGAGTAGTACAACTTTGCCGAAGACACCATGTTGTTATCTCTTATCAGTTGCGCGAAAACCGTGAAAAACGCGGTACGCCAACATACTCTACTTTAACGCCAACAGAATCATCAGAAAACATACTCGCCATTTCAAAAATATAAATCGAAGAAAAAACCAGGGCTTAAGAATCGCACAGAGTGAACCCTGTGAGTAGTGCAATGCATCACAATATCGTGTGCGCTACACGCACACGAACGGACGACGAACAGTTCACAAATGTTCAAATAAAAATGAGTTTACCACTGACCGTTCAATGTGCGCTCAAATACTCACAGCAGACACGCAGAGTAAAAAAAACTTGTTTGTGCCTGTATTTCGGCTATGTTGAACATTAGGGTAGCCCAAATGCCAAATGTTTTAAAATTTGCAGCTCCTAACC